CCAAGCCGAGGTCTCTCCCAGAGAGCACAGAGGTTGCCAGAGAGATGTTAACTGGTCGTCATATGTCGGTCTCGCAATATACTATAGAGGCGACGGTTACCCATGAGTTGGAGGGCGAGATGACGTAAGCGTTGCCGCTAAAATCTAGCTGCTAAGTGCCAGGTCAAAGGGATATAACTCTATCATATGACTATTGAGTGGAGCTCTAAAGGGTGAGACTTAAACTCGCCGAAGTGGCGAGGATGCCAATGGAAAGAAGAGAAAAAGAGATTCAACTACAAAACCAGAAACACTCCCGACAAAGAACTTATGCCTCGTTTGGGTCAGGGAGACGTCTAACGTCCTAAGTGCACTAAACAACCGTCTAAGTAAAAATCTATGTTGGCCCATAGTCACAACTGCCTTTAAATTTGACTAGCTACCCACAAAATAGATACAACTAGGGTGTGTAGATGGGTTCCCCAATTATTAGGAGGAAAACCAACATTAATTTTTAGGATGCGCAAATCTACTAAATGTCTATTTTTTTAAAGTATTAGACAAAAAAAATATATTACAAAGAGGCAAAATTTCTAAATTTTTTAAACTTCATAAGAATATAAAAATACAATATACTTTAGTTTTAATAAAATGACTCATGATTAAAACATGCTTTATTTTTCAAGATTGTTGAAAAGTCTTATTTGCTTGTCTAAATGAACAAAATTTTTTATTGATTTGCTTTGTGGATGTTTGGACTGAATTTTTGGACTTGGAATATTCATGTTTGATACACCAACCCACATTTGATGTTTGTTTACAAGAAAAAAAAGTGCGTCACGAAAATCACTTTTCCTTCAAGTAGTCAATTCAATAACTGCTGAAAATCTTATGTTTTTTTAAAAATCAGAGCAATCTGGCCGCTCCAAACAATTCAAGACCTTGAATCTATCATATATTGTAATGAGAGCATAGATGATGGCTTAATTTGTAAATGTATAATTTAGGGTCTGTTTGGGGCAGCTGCAGCTTATTGAATAACCTACTGATAAATTGATTAAAAATAGTCTGTTGATAAGCTATGTGCGGTGGCTATTAGAATTTTTTATTTTTTTTGAAAGAGTCATACCACTGTCAGAAAGTTGTAATCACACCTAGATAAGTGCGGTGTGAAAACGCAGAAAACTGCCAAAACACAGTTTACCCAAACAGTCCAGGTGCGTTTTTAGAACATCACCGCATCAAATAAGCTGCCCCAAACAGACCCTTAATTAGTAATAAATCTAATTGTTTTCTCTAGAAGATAATCCAAAATCAAGAGTTATGGAAAATCAAAGCTAAACTTTAGAAATTTAGAATTATACCCCAATCATGCAAAGTATAAATCTAAGTATTAGGAAACATACAAGTTATTAGTAGTTAAGTGTGCAACATGAAAATTAATTTAATCTAGTTTTTGTTAAAAGATTAAGGATAAATCAAGAAGTAATTATATTGAATGAAGTAGCAAAAAAGTAAATAAATATTGAAAGTTTGATATATAACCAAAAATATAAGATGTATGGATTAAGACTCAAGAGGATTATGCCAAAATTAACATACTAGAATTATTATAATAAAAAAAAATTAAAAAAAATACATAAGAATTTTGAGGTAGGTAAATTTCAATTTATATATGTGCACTTAGGTACATGCCACACAATTCTTATAAATTTGCATCTAAACTTTAATATTTACATTTTAACACTTTGATGTCATCAATCAATACATGAAAATGTGTATTTCACTTTTAAATAGTAAGTGAAATATATTTATTTTCACTTACTATATTTATTTTTTTGTTTTTTATTTTATTTAGTTTATGTTTTGATTTAAATTAAAATATATTTGATTGTTATCGTTGTTTTTAAAAATATTTAAAACAGTTTTTAGGTTTTTTTGAGTGTTTTTAAAAATAAAATATTTTGTTTTATTAAAAAAAAATAAAAATTAATACAAAAAAATCTGTCTATTCAAACATGTTTTAAAAAAATAATAATAATGGTAGTAATAAAAATAATATCTTTGATGTGTGTGTGTACCACCAACATATTTTCATCATTCAACACAAATCTCAAAACGATATTTTGAGCAAATAATATTCAAATATTGATAAAAATTCATCAAGAGCTCCGATTTTAGCAAAATTATAGTAAAAAAGACCGACTTGATGAGACAAACATAATGAAATCAAAGTTAGTCCAATCCGAGTCAAATAAAGCCCATATTAAGTCATTAAACCATTCTTGAAAAATTTTTGGACACATTTGAAAGGTCAAACAGATGTCGAATCTGACGAGTTTCTAGTCGAATCGAGTGCTCGACAAGAAAAATCTAACGGGTCCAAGATCACTCAATTTTGACATCATTAAGCACCCAAATGCCCATTAAACACCGTTTGATTCAGAGAAGATCTTTGGACCATTTGATTAATATAATTGATATTTCTGCATTAAATGCACCCAGAATACTATAAATAGAGCCCTACCCCTCTCATGAGAAGTGAGCTTACACCTGCAGAGAGAGCCTGAGTTCTTGAGGAGCTACAACTTAGTATCACTGTCGACCGTTGTCGACCACCGCTGACCACTGTCGACCACTGCAGACCGCCATCGACAACTGCCGATTTTTATTGTC